GTCTACAGACTACAGTAACAACTTGCAACAGACAATACTAGCATCCTGCAACATGTATGGAAGCATCACAACAGAACATCAAACTGAAGTTAAGATACCAGCAGGCCCCACCGTAGCCCTTTCTGTAAGCATAAGCACGTTTACAAGGGATATCCCTACCTTTGTGTTGCTTCTGTGCTTTTTTTGGGGGGCCCAATCTTCGAAGCTCGCAATCAAAAAAACACCGTCAGAAGTTCCGAGAGTCTCGGAGTTGCATACTTGAAGGATTTAGGATTTAGGGTTTAGGATTGAAGGATCAAGAACTCAGGAATCACGGTCTTAAGTACTCTGTATACCTTCTTGGTTCAATTCTCAAAACTTGTCAGTTTTTGGGTGCTCTTGTGAGGTAGTCAAAGTCTGAATCTGAAAGTTTGAACTTTTCAGCCCATGGGTATTTGGGAAGTAAGCATAGTGTGAAAAAGGGTATGGGTGATTTTAATGTCTAGGAATGGTGTGTTAACTGGCATTCTATAAGGCATAAAAAATCGGAATTCCAATAGGTACTTTGCTTATGTCCCTACGTAGTATACTAAGTTCCCCGATGCTTTGAGAGGGGAACTCAAATCCCTTTCATTTTGCAAATGTGTGCTCTTTCCATCTGCGTGTTTGGTATGTTTTCTGTTTTGTGTGTGTCTACTCGTAGTGGAGTAGTGTATATACATATGTGTATGTACATACATGTTTTCGCTTACAAGCGTTTCTAGATGTTCACAGACATGCATACTGTATGCCAAAATATAACATATAATGTTTACGCAGTATAGTCTATATGTATCATACAGCGGTGTCCTCGTCTAAGCGCCTAAATCCCTAAACCCTAGCCCCCTAAGCAGTTCCTTTTTGGGATTACCTTGTAGGATTCTAGATATAATCCCCAAAACGGAGCTACTTAGGGGCCTAAATCCCTAAACCCCTAAACCCTAAACCCCAAAAAACCAAAACCCTGAACCCTAAAACCCTAAACCCCAAAAACCCAAAGCCCCAAGCCCTAAAGCCCTAAATCCAGAAAGGCCCTAAACCACAAAAAGGAACTACCTAAAGCCCTAAAGCCCTAAAGCCCTAAACCCTAAGCCCCCCAAAGCGAGGCGCTGATTTTCTCCACCCTGGCTGCGGCCTACATCAAGGAGGCCTTGGGCTTCTTGCATTCTCTACTTCGAGGTTCATGGGTAGTTATAAGTGGAGTTTTAAGGGATTTCTTTCAAGGGTTCTATCGGGATTTTAGGGTTTAGGGGGTAGTTATAAGTGGAGTTCTAAGTCCCCTTAATATAGGTTATAACTACAGTTTCCCTACTTATAACTACCCATGAACCTCCAAGTAAGCCCTGCCTGGACCCTTGAACCCAGGAGCAGACTCTAAACTCTAAACCCTGCACCCTAAACCCCTAAACCCTAAATTTGGGGTTTAGTGGTTGAGGGTTTAGGGCCTTACTAGCCCAAAAGATTTACTTTGTCAGGAAATATCAGGAATGTACGATATCACAAAGCCTGTAGGGTTTGTGTGGGTTGCGACAGAGCCTGTAAAGCACCGAAACACCCGAAACACTACAAACCCTTCAAAGAGGCCGACAGAACCCGAAGTCCAGGCTCGAACAGGGGATTTCTAAGGCCTAGGGCTTTGCATGGTTTTATCTGGGTTTCGTGGGCCGTAGCCTAAACCCGAACCCCTAAACCCCTACACCCTAAACCCCTAAACCCTAAACCCCTACACCCTAAACCCCTAAACCCCTAAACCCTAAACCTCCAAGCCCTAAACCCAGAGCCATAGAGAAGAGAGCGTGTTTGACAATCAAGGGACTACAGGAGAGACCCTTAAAGGGACCCTTGGGGTTATATAGGGGCGTGGTGAGACCATATAAGGGGTGTATAAGGGTTATATAGGGTATTAGGGATTAGGCGTCCCTTCTAGGGGTCCCTCCTCTTGTCCATTAAGACAAAGCATCTTACAAGCTAGCTTGATCGGATTGTTTAGGGCCCCAAGACCTCGCCTGCAGCCCCAAACCCTACTACGGTTGATGATATAAATCCTGCATTACTTTAAGGACCCTGAACTATGGGAACTATGGTATATTCCCTATTAACCCTATTATGTGTAATGCAGGGTTCATATTTTATTAGTCGTATTCCACACGTTACGGCCCCTCAGTTGTAGGGGTGCACCCCTCAAAACAACAGGGTTGTTCTTCCAAGTTGTTGGAGGATCTCAGGACTCGAGTCGGATTTATTTACGATGGTGATATACTTGCAACGGCTATTATTGCCCTACGAGGGCCTAGATTTTCCAACATAAACCCAAGTGCTAACCCTAAAAAGCCTCAGATAAGCCCTAAACCCTAAACCCTTAACCCTACCAAACCCTAGACCCTAAACCGTACTCTAAACTAAACCCTAAACCCTGTTAAAACCCTAGAGTGAGCCCTAAGACTCTGCCCTGAAGAACTCTGCTCTCCGGAGCGCCTCAAAGCAGGCCTTGGAGTGAAAGTGGCTGCGATGCCCTTCGGAGGACTGCGGCTTACTTGGAGGTTCCATGGGTAGTTATCTAGAAGGGCTCCTTTAAGGGGTCCTACAAGGGGGCATAAGGGGTCCTATTTGGAGGCCCCACTGGTTGGAGGAGGTTCCTTTCAGGGACCCAAAAAGGCACCCTAATCTAGAGAACTACGGTTGATGATTTAAATCCTGCATGACCCACAACAAGCACGATACCATAATTCCCATAGCTCAGGGTCCTTAAGGTAATGCAGGGTTTATATCATCAACCGTACCCATATCTTCTGCGCAAACAGCAGAAGACAGATTTCGACTTAAAAGAGCACTCAATCAGTCCCGGCAGCGAAATTCCAGCGAAACAGGACCATTATGGTTGAGGGTTTATAGGGTTTAGGGGTGTAGCGTTCCCAGAGAACCCCATACCCCTTAATTTAAGGAACAATATTAAGCTCCCTATCATTCAAGGTATGCTCCTTAATTAAGGGGTATTGGGTTCTTTGGGTTTATTTATCCCAAGAAGAGCACCATGCTTGCCCAAAGGTTTGCAAGAAGTGTCCATGGATCAAGAGAAGCCCACTTTCGACTTTAAGGGAAGCCCCTTTTCGGCGGAGGACGAGAGAGGTGAGTTTTTCCAGTGAGTGTGGAAGGAACAAATGACAAAGAGAGAAGCAGTCATGTTATGTTTGCAAAGCATACTATTGGGATGTAGATCTGTTGCAGTCGCTCTAAAAAGTTGTGTCCTATCGAATTCTGCAGAGCCCTGGCAGAGGGAAAAAAGCATGCGGCGTGGCTTCCGATTCTGCACGCAAGGCATTGCTGTTTGCTCCACGCATGGCTGCGAATCGCTGCTCTCGGCCATTCAGGGCGCAGCCATTTCAGGGCGCAGGAGGTCCCCGATAAACTAATTAGCAGCCCGCAAGCTGGAAAAGAAGCATGGCACGCACTCGATCGGCGTTCCTGCGCGGCGCGGCCGCAGCCGCCGGACTTTGCCTGGCCCTCCATGCCGCTCGCGGCTTCGTCGCCCCACGGGGCACCGGAGCCGAGCTGCGCACGGAGGAGCTCCGCGGTGCCGTGAGGCCCATGGGTGCCGCGGCCGGCGAGCAGAGCCCCGCATCCCTCACGGCCCCAGCGGCCACGGCAGCGGTGCCGGGTGCCTTCTCGGGATCCACGCTGCTCACGGCCGGGCTCTTCACGGCCCGCAGCATGGTCAGCGTCTGTGCGCAGGTGGCCCGCCATGCCAAGGCGCCTGTCAGCGAATTCGGCGCCCCCAGCGGCGCCCGAAACTTCCAGGAAATGGCCCTTGGCTTCACCACCGACATCGCCAAGAACAACTTGGGAGAGTCTTTCTACAGGCCCTGGGTGCCCTTTGTGACGACCATCTTCCTCTTCATCTTCGTGAGCAACTGGTCCGGCGCCCTGATCCCCTGGAAGCTCTTTGAGATCCCGGCAGGTGGGAGTTTCCAGGGATACCTTCTTTTTGGGGTCCTTTAGAATATGGATCCTACTATTTAGGGTACCTTATTTTGGGGTCCTTTATAAGAAGGATCCTACAATTAAGGGTACCTTCTTTTGGGGTCCTTTATAATAAGGATCCTACTACTTAGGGTACTATCTTAGGGTCCCCTATTTTCGGAAACCCCCAGGTGAGTTGGCGGCCCCGACCAACAACATCAACACCACCGTGGCCCTCTCCCTGCTCACCTCCCTGGCCTACTTCGGAGGTGGCAGCGGAGATTGTCGATGGGGTGCTGTAGTCTTGTAAAATGAAAGCTTGAAGCCTTGATCACTTCACAACTCCTTGCCATTCCGGAGCTGCTAAACCGTGGAATTTTGGAGCCATTCCGTGCACCTGTCCCAAAGCCCTAAACCCCTAAACCCTAAACCCCTAAACCCCTAAACCCTAAAACCCTAAAACCCTAAACCCCTAAACACTAAACCCTGAGCCCTTCAAGAAAGGCCCTGCTTGCCCAAGCCCACTTTTTCTCTCGCTCCAGGCTCCGTGGCTTTGCAACTGCCTCAACTGTCAAGCCCTCTTCCCAGAGATCCCAATGCCCCTTACAAAAGGAATATACCTTAAACTAGAGGGG